AGATAGCAACGCATTGAAGACAATATTAGATGTGTCACCCAATTTCGTGGATCAGTTGAAGTTAGACATTAACACCATTGGATGCCAGCTCAGTGGTCTAGTGGTTAAGCGTTCGCGCACGAGACTGATAGGTCTTGACTCCGGATCTCGCGTGACTGGATCGTGGATGCTCACTGCCGAAGAGTCCCATACTCGGACAAAATGGTCGTCCAGTGCTTCCAGGTTTTCTATGGTGGTCTGGCTTCAATCAACTCATGATCTCAACTATTGACATTACTACAATCTCCACAAAATCCCTTCAAATACGCATATATTTAATCGGATAATTTGTAAAGATAAGTTTGATTTGAAGTGAGCTTTGGTTGCAGATAGATATCAATTGATGAATCATCTGAAACTAATGATCAGGTAGCTAATTATTCTATCTTTCCAGTATTGCCTAATCATGAATTCGAAATGAAAATGTAGCTAAGATTTTTAGGTTTATCAACAAGCAATTTATATTCAAACTACAGAGTAAGTTTGTTTAAATATTTATCAGTGTTTTACATAATCAATAAAATTTAAATTCACTTGGTATTGTTTTGCTTGTATCTTCCCATTGAGGTTTAAAACTGCAGTTGACCAGTCTGTTATTGGCGTATGCCTCGATATTGCCTTAATTCACAAGCTGTTATAAGCAAAGATGCATAGTGGCTAGCAGTGGAATCCATCAACTCTGAGATGCAGGTACATCCAGCTGACGAGTCCCAAATTGGACGAAATGCGCGTCCTAGATTCCACTGCTAGCCACTATACGTCATTAAAATTTAGTTTAAATAAATAATCCAGTAAATAATGAACTAAATTAAAATGAATATCCACTGTTGAATACATCTATTCAAGAAGTGAATGTTGCTTAATATGCAGTAATTATACTAAATGACTTGATTTTCAATTATCAGGTTAAACTATTCGAAAACAATCGAAGAAAGCTGTATTTTGATGATTGTTTTGAGCAGATCTAAAATTTCTAATTTGCGTGTAGACTCAGTTTATCGACCAATAACGTAGAGACCAATGAACCAATGATAATCATAATACCGATAGTTAATAATCATAGAAGTATACATAAAGACGACATAATTTCTCAGAACAAATATTCATAATCGAAATCCTTCAAATGGCTAAAGCATTAGTTATTCGAATCAAAAATCCAAAGCTACTTATGCTAAAGAGATTTTTTTCAACTGCTTCTCACTCAATAAGTTAACAATCATTCGAATGATATGAGAACGTAATCTCACTAATAGGCATACAAAATGTTTTCTTGGTATTTTTCATAGCTGAAATTTATCTTATTCTCACATCTTACTATATTATAATATATATAAACCTTTGAGAAATGTAATTAGCCTTCACCACTATTTATTATACCTTACCTAATTCATTCTATTCTATATGTGGAACAATCAGTGACCAAATATTTATTCTAATTTGTAATTATAAATTGTTATCCTTTATTTATTCGGATCATTATTCACACAATTCCATTTAACATTTAAACCTATTCAAGTTAACATTGTATATTAATCATTTTATTATTAATAATTTTATTTTATTTTATGAGGAAATACTACAATTTTAAACGACATGATTCATCTTAAACTTGGTAACATTTTTCAACAATTAATTTCAATATATAACTGTAGAATCTGAAGAAAATTTATTCAAAGGAGTATTCTTCATTCATGGATCAGCAAAGTAAGTACAGAGTATCTACAATTGAAGGACATCTGGAATTTAAAACAACTGTCAACCAACACCAAAGTCACAATTTTCAATACAAATGTCAAGACAGTTCTACTGTTTGGGGTGGAAACATAGAGAACTAAGAAAGCCGTCATTCAGAAGATACCAGTGACTAGAAACTAACTTTCTCTTAAATATTCCTTATTCTTAAAAATCCCATATTTGAAATTTTGAAAGATAATAATTTCACTGATGGAAATCATGAGTCATTTGAAGCTAGACCACCATGGAAAACCTGGAAGCATTGGACGGCCAACTCGTCCTAGTATGGGACTTATCAGCAGTGCGCATCCACGATCCCGCACCCAGCGAGATTTGAACCCAGGACCTATCAGTCTCGCGTCAGGCGCTTAACCAACTAGATCACTGAGCCGGACGGCATCCAACGGTGTTAATGTCTAAGTTCAATCAATCCATGAAGTTGCACCACCGTACACCATTGTCTTCAGTGAGTTGATATCTCACAACAGACCTGGTTGAACTCCACTGGTAACGACTCGTCACTAGAACTCCAGAAGTATCTCCTGAAGTCAGTCACTAGTGAGTAGGTGATTATTATTATGAGAATGGGTTTTGTGGAGATTTTTAGAAATGTCAACAACAATCATCATTACAATCTCCTTCGAGTCAGATCTCGGGCCACTAAAGTGGAGAGCCCTTTCGACAAAATCGTTCGATCTAAATGACAACAAAATAAAGGGCCTCACACGTATGATGAATACTGTAACAAACAAACAAATTAATACTCATATCAGTTAGCAAAATCATGAAATAATTTATAAATTGAGCCAAACAACCTTTTATCTAATATTTCAGTTAGTGTGATTTACCCCACCTATATAGAACCATATAAGTAGGATTCAGAATCATTCGGAAGTGAGATTCGTGACAACAAGAACTGGAATTGAAAAGAACAGGAAGGTATATAGAAAGCAATTGGGATAACAACTGAATTAGAAGAATCATGAAGTGTGTAAACGACAACTGAAGGAAGATGTGCAAATAATGCATTTAGTTTATGATTTTCACATATTGCAAAGGCAATGTGTAATTTTACATTAAATTTGGTACATTAGTAATGAAAACAGTACATGATATATTGATTCCATGACTGTTAACAAAAAAGTACTTGGGTTCGAGAAATGACAATTTCGATTATCAAGGAAATCTAACACATAAATTATATTAGTTAGTTATTTTTATTTTATGAAAAATTGATTGAGTTCAAGTAATAATTGGCTTCTTGATTATCAGAGTATGTGAATGTGAAATCGTTGGTGTTGAAAACTTTCTTATTAATATACGATATCTGTTCAGTGCTTTTCATTATTACAGCTTCTTTGTGATAGATAAATAGATTAACTGATTAGTCACTGACTAAAAATCAACGTCATGTCTACGTAGTTATTCTTACTGACTTAACAGCTTTATGGCAGTCTCAGACTTCAAAGTTGGTTTCGATCCTTCTGACAGTATAAGTCCCCTAAAGGACCATAATTACGTCTTACTATTGAGTACTAAATAACTTGAAATCTAAATTTAAAGTGTCTTGTTGATCGCGTCCAGCCAGTTAGCGATAGTAAACTTTTTTTGAAAATATCCGAATAACTAACAGCTACATTACTATCGAAATCAGTTGAACATAATCAACACAGTCATTAGTAAAACTGGAACACTCAATCATATCAATATTTACCATAGGAGTCACAATCAAACTGACTTCATTTTAGTCACATTGATATTCAGAAAATTAGTTCAAAGTTCTAGTTATTTTTTCTTAAAAACACAACAACATAAGTAAAGAGATTATGAGTGAAATATTCTCACTATAAGTGAGTTTTGATAAATGTTGATTCACTGTAAATGAATTCCTTATACAAACATCAATGGAATGCTGATCACTTCTTTAATTCATAATGTAAATTTTAAAATATAATACTGTGTATGTTTCATACAAGAATGTACTTTTGATGGTCGGTATTCGATATTATTCTTAAATTTCGTATACTATCCGTTCTGATAACTGTTATTAGATAACGCCTTCAACGATGTTTAAATCAGAAGACGAATACGAAACATTAATCACGTTTATTATTGCATTACGCACAGGTCAATGAAACCATAGGCACACAAAGCAAGAATGAAAAGCTATTGCTGAAAAACAAGCAAATGAGTCAAATAATCAACAGGATTACAATGTTCGTGTTTACATACATAGGAAAATGAGTAAGTTATCGAATCATTTAACCGACTAACACTAACGCTAGCAGAATGAATATGTACGTAGTCAGTAAGCAATGCTCATATAAGTGCAACAATAATAAAAGTACAATGATATAGATAAGTTGTTGTTTGCACGAATGACTCTGCCTATGACATAAGTTAACAAAGAAAAGCTTAACCAAATTAAATGGGAACAATCTCAATTGTACGTGAGCTGTTATATACTATTTCTAATATCAGTGTAATTCAATTAATTAATTGTACATTGTACTACAAATTACATAAAATTGTTCACATCAAACCATAAACATTTCATTTCCTATAATCAATAATTTTTTGTCTTTTACTAGATATTGTTCCCATAAATTTTTTTATTCTTTAATTATATCAGATACATTCTATTTCATTAGACATCTCTAGTGAGAAATTATGTATATAGCACTACATTTTACATCCTATCAAAACCTAAAAATCAATAATAAATCCTTTTAGGAAAAAAAGTGAAGCACATAACAGAAAAAATCGAGATCAGGCATTACTGTTGCCTAATGTATATTTATACATTCTGAAGATATAACTAAAAAGGTAAGAGGATTTTCAGAAAATACAAGCAACTGATTGTCCCCTTTTTATTGTCTGTATATATATTTTTTCTTTCTTTTTGAATTAGTTTTAAAGTGTAGATAATTGTACATCTATGTATATGTGCTTCGTTACGCGGATGTTTGTCTACATATAGTTAACAAATGAACACATATGAATATGTAGTCTTTACTAGTATTATTTCCGTTTACCTTTACAAAGGAAATGCACAATTTTAATCGATATTATTTCAACCAACTATATGTGCCTAAAAGTGTAGAATAGGAAAATATAGAGTCAATAATAAACCGAACAAAATAAGAAACCATATGAAGCTGATGAATAAACACTGTCATACAAGCATACACTCTAGGTATAACTACTTGTTAACTAGTTAGTTAGCTGAATCAAACTTAAGTTTTAAATGATTATAAAGAATTATTCATTTCATTACTGATTTACAATAACCCTAACAAAAGACTATTCTCTCTTATTAGCAAGAGAGTTTTCAGTTTTTTTAACTTTTAACAAAACGTAACATTAAAAGATAAAAAAATATTTTCTGGAAAAAAAAGGTATTTCGTATCAACTGATAAAATTATTTTAATGAAAATAAACTTAGACCCTCCTGCCCCCCTTGAATACTAATTCACAGATTTTCCCATTGAAGTTAACAACAACAACAACAATCATCTACGTTTAACTAAATTCATTGTAAAGAAAATGCCCTGTTTATGGATTATATGTAACTTTTCTATTGTAAATAATTCATATCGAACACTTCCAACAAGAAAATATCCTCTGTTTTTCACTCTCAGCGTTTAATAATTATCAAAGTGTTTAAACACAATTATGACTGTTTATTACATACTACTGTTAAAATGATAAAATTTAGTAGTAACAACTTATAAATACACGATAATAGTATTTCCATAATCAAGAACAAAATTTTATTCAGTACACTAACACACACACACACATAAACACGAAGAACATAAAGAAAAAAAGGTTTCAATTATTGATAACAATTGTAAAACGTCGTTTAATGTTTCATGCAATGTGTTTCTTTAAAAGATAATTACTATCAAACTATTTACGAAAATCGAAAAAAAAGATGGATGAAGCAATAAATGAGTAAATCTATAGGATATCCTATTGTGATCTAAACGCATTTATTGATTAATCATGTCCAGTTATCGTTGGCCACCAGTTCCTACATCTGGACTTAAATCACGAGATGTAAGTTTTATATATATGATCAAGTTATTCAACGAATATCTATGATCTCTTGTATCCCATAATTTCTTGTCAAATGATAACCGTCTTGAATTGAAAAGGTTCCTCTACTTGGAGATAATAAAATGATTACTGAAATTATAATTTAAACTTAATCAATTTCGAAAGAATTATAACATATTCTGCATCAACAGAGAGTTTCCAAGTGCTAATTTACTAACGAAAAAGCGACTCATTTTATATGTAATATGTAAGACGGATTAAGGGTACGAAAAATTGATACGCAGCAATATTCAGTGGTCACAGATGATTTAATGAGTCTAATATCGGTCACTTATACATGCAGTGAGTTTTATAGTAAAAATAACTCCTTAACAATTGGTATACTTACATGCGAAAGATTATTACTGCTGAGGAGTCCCACAATGGGGCAAAACGGCCATCCAGTGCTTCCAGGTTTCCCATGGTGGTCTAGCTTCAACTGACTCATGATTTCAACCTGTGAAATTTCTAAAAGTCTCCACAAAACCCATTCTGATAATAAATGTGTTTCGGTATGGGTTTTTCAGTATTTAGCATCACAATATAAATATTAACCAGCGAGACTATAATTTATGGACAAACCAATCAGGTATAAGATAACAGGTCTTGGATTTCGGTGAAAAATTCACTCATTCATTTGGCTAAATAGAGTCTTGGCATTAAAGCTGATAACAGTTCGTGATGAAAACCCATCAACTGTAAATCATAATTCGAATTCGTCACATTGATTTATAACCCTCATTCGGTCCTATTTACCAGGTGAACTTTCTCAAGGTCAGTCTAGAGTCGCTCAAAGGTCTTTCATAAATTATAATCTCATCATAGTAAACTACCTTAAAATAACACAATAGTACACAGAGTTAATATTCCAAATTATCCAGTTTAAACAACTGTAAAAATAGATGACTCGGATATCGGAACCAGCAAATGTTGTTTATTCTTCGTTTAGTGTATATCCTATCAGTGATAATAGACACTAAATTGACTCTGCATTTATTTGTTCAAATCACTGACCAGGTACAAATCAATGTATCTGAATTTGATGAAAGCAATACTACTCGTTTGTTCAGACTAAAATGAATGGAATGAAGTTTGAACCTGAAAATGATTGGCTGAAAGTTGAATACCTTAAAAATTGAGCGAATGTTTCATTTTATTTCATATCAGTAAATAAAAATATAATTTTACGCCTCTTATTCTTTACATAATTAACATCTCTATCACAAACATTCAATAGATTTATTTACTTAAACAATTTATCCATATTTTTCTCAAGCATTAACCTTCTTGTATTAACTGTATCATGCCTATAGACTTGACTCTATTTACTTAACAATCATCGATCAAAAAGTAGATTGTTAGATTTTAAGTTTCACATGACATCAATTACTTTACTGTTAGTATGTAACGGAAGTTTAAGGACTCATACAAAAAGTATAATTTAACGATAACATACGAGATATGCGTCCCAGATTCCACTGATACCTTATATATACATATTAGTTTTCATTGCTTACTGAATTATGTTCAGTCAAGACCGATGATATCAACATGCTTTAATTTAACTGGAATACTTATTCAAATAACTGTGTTCTTCTAAACTATATAACTACAGTATAGAAGAACAGTTTAACATTATCATAATGACCACCAACTACTTTTCGAACTATTTTTATAAATGTTAAAAAGGGTAGATTTGCAGCCTAGTAACGACGAGATTCAACAATAAATATGTTTAATCATATCCGGAAAAATTAGTTCATTATATAAAAACATTAGAGGTGAATTTTATAGATGAGCATAAAGTTTATATATGTAAGTTCATTGCATATAATCAACAATAAGCCTTAAATTTATTTTTTTCATTAGGTACCAGTAATGCGAATCTGAAACTTTGAAAGATATGATCGGACTCAAATCTTGATCATCTTGTTTCATAGTCATTGAGCTGCTCAAACAGCGACTGACCTCCTTTGGTATTAAATTTTAAGTGTGAATTGATTATTGACTAGCAACCAATAACATGTGGTCCGTCATCGATTCCCGATCAAACCCTACCTAATAAAAGTCACTGTACCCATTCACATATATCTTGCTCAGGAGTGTCAGGTAACATTAAACCTATAGTCTACGTTTTGCTATATAACATTAAACGGACTACAAAGAACCCCCGAGTCACTAAAACTAGTGATCACGTTACAACTTAATCCACAAGACTCAATATTTAAACCAACAAAATAGTAATAGTTTATCTGATGGAAACATAGACGATGTTGTTCATAATGATAAACCATCAGGCTCAGAGGGAACACTACTGAGAAATATGTTCACTCGAACTATCACTAATCCACGTCATATATTCTGAATACAGATAGATGCTAAAACAATGAGCAGTATATATAACATCACAACTCAATTCAGAGGTTAGTCTACAGAAAAGTAAGGACTATTATGTTAAGCAAGAAAATAGTGATAATTGTAGTGCTCTAGTTTATTCAAAATAATCATAAGTTAATCTGTCAGCTGAAGATTTGATGCTGAATTTAAAAGTCTTACAATGAATTCTAAAACAGTTACACCGATCGAACATTGATTATGATCTAATATTGCATTTATTTCGTCTTAGTCGTTGATCCCATTCCAGTATGAATGTTAGCCAATCAAATATAGTGTTCATGATATGGATTCTCTTAAATTAATTTTCACAGATTATCCTGGTTAGTGAAGATTCACAAGCTTATTAAGTGAACTTCTTTATACAGACAACATAACATGCTACATAAATCTCCTTTATGTCTAGTCAAACACCGGTTATAAGTTGCACCGACAATTCATATAACACTGTATTTATAACCTAATTGTAAGCAGTTTATTCACTAAATTGGTAATCACTCAATAATTAACAAAAGTTCAACTTTAAAGCTTTCATCTTTACTAAAAATGTAGTTAAAAGTGTTTATACACTACTCGTAACGGTCACATAAATATATTCTTTTAAATTTGCAATAAAATAGATTATAATCAATGTGCTTTTGTATCATAGACCACTTGATATCAGTCTGTGTAAATATACGTTTGTATCATGTTTGCTAATATAAATAAGTCTCTTCATTTGAAAATGCTTAACTTAGTCGATTAATAAAATTTTTTCGTAATTTCCCTATCTTTCTATTACTCTAAAAGACTAGGTTGCTGAATAGTATAAAGATAAGTCTTAATGTCTTGGATTCATTCCAATAAAGGTTTATAGTTACATATTATTGAGGAATTATAAACCAGAACGAAATACTTCTTAATTACTCCTTAGTTTATAGTAGTCCTTAAAGCGTAAACTATTTTCGAAACAATTATAGATGTTTATTGCTTTCACAAGTATATTGAATACTGATTCAATTTTCAAGTTTGATTTAGGTTTGTTTAATAGATCATAGAACAATAGTAACTGTAAGTAGAAATGCTGTAATGGTTTTGCTTCATTGACCAATCACCCTAATAACCGTTATTATATAAACCTCAACGGTGTTCGAAATCAGAAGGCATAAGAAGCGGCAACTACAGTTTGTTAACAGATAGTTCAGACCACAAAGCTGTGAGCATATCGAGCGAATTTTAAGTGAAGAGGGGAATAAGTATATGCAAGCAGTTACATATGCAAATTTATAATTAAATTGTATAAGGGAGCAGCAAGGTAAAGTAAATGCTGATAATAGGATTTGAGTACGTACATATATGGGGATGAGGATGAATCTTTGAATGATATTTAAGTAGTCAACATCTTAGCTCGAATCTGTAGTGAGATCTAGTGATTATAACAGTACAAAGAAATATGTGAATTGTTACTATTCAAATAACATTGTCTGTTAAGTAAGTTAATAAAACGGTTTAACCAAAATTAGCCATGATCGAAATTCATTGCAAGATAGCTGCTATAATACTAATATTGTTTAAAGTAGGAATCACTTTCATTTAATGAATACCATCGTTCTAACTAGCCTTATATAGTTTAAAAATATATTTTTCCCTACATGAACTTACCTACATATTTATTTATGCCACTGTTTTTTTGGTTTAATGTAACTGAGAATTAGTCTATGAATCCTTTTTCGTAATATTCAGATGACTGAATTCTATCTGACCAAGTAAAGTAATTCTACTAATAAGATTCTTCTTTTTGTTATCATCTGTTGATATGCTTCAATGAATAACGGTGGTATGATCAAATTTGTTAAATTAGAAGTTAAATCAGTCTCTAGTTTGTTCAATTTATTTGAAGTAGAACATTTCAGATACATACAATCTGAATTATCAGTATAGTATTGTGGAGATGATTAAGCTTTTGATTGAGATTATGAACCGATTGAAGTTAGACCACCATTGAAAACATGGAAGCACTGGACGGCCGTTTTGTCCTATTGTGGGACTCCTCAGCAGTGCACAGCCACGATCTCGCTCTGAAGTACAAAATCTTCTGATGTATTTTATCGACAAAAAATGTGAAATTTAATTTCATGCGAATGATACTGAAATAAATGTTTAGAAACAGATGTATATGTGACGATTTTTCTCTTTTGTTTTAATGATACTTACTTACACCTGTTACTCCTCATGGAGGAGCATAGGCCGCCAACCAGCACTTTCCATCCAACCCTTCCCTAGGCAATGCTTTCCATCACTTTCCAGTTGTTATTCATCCCTTTCATATCTGCGTGGTACTTCTAGGGATCAGTCCTATAGGACGTATGTTTAAATGATAATCAACAAAAAATTAAATCATAATATTGTATTGAAGTTATTTGTATAGCTCTAAGATATCTCACATTACAAATCAAGATTAACTGGAGAACTAATCATTATTTGAAAGCACTGAATAATGATTTCAATTTAGCATGAAACTGTTCATTAGTTCTAAAGCTGGTGTCACTTAGAGTTAAAATTTATCTTCAGATTATTAAAAGTTCTTC